GTTACACAAGTGTACACTCCCGCCCACATCGAGGAATGGTTCATTTCCCCCATGCCCTGCAGCACCGTTGTCCTTTGACGTGTTGACAGTAGCCATTCTTTCTGGAATGAGGTAGAATCTCAGTGTTATTTTGATTTGCATTTCTTACATGGCCAGCGATCTTAATGATTTTTTAGGTGTTGATTGTCTTTTGCACTTCTTTCTCTGAGCAGTGTCTATTCATTTCAGAAGGCCATTTCTTATTGGGTCTCTATGTTTGGCAGGGTTTAACTCCTGGAGTTCTGTATATATTTTAGATATATGTCCTTTGCCTGAGGTGTAGGTGACCAATTTTTCCCTGTTGTGAAAATTGTCTGTTCACTCTTCACTCTGTTGGTGGTTTCTTTTGTGGTGCGGAAGCTTTTTAATTGGATGTGACCCCATTTGTTGATTTTTGGTATTATTTCTTGTGCAACCCGGGCTCTATTCAGAAAGTCAGCCTATGCCTAGGTCTTCAAAAGTTTTACCTATTTTATGTTGCATCAGACTGTATTTCTGATTGAATGAAGAGATCTTTGATACATTTTCATTATGGTTTAGTGTATGATGAGAGATATGGGTCTACGTTCAATCTTCAACATGCAAATTGCCAGATTTCCCAGCCCCATTTGTTAAAGAGCTTGTCTTTCCTCCAGTGTAAGTATTTTGCCCCTTTGTCAAAGATGAGGTATCTGAGTGCTTAGATTTGTTTCTGCCTTCTCTATTGTGTTCTACTGAAGCACAAATCTTCTTCCCTCTGCCCCAATACTATGCTGTTTCTATCACTGTAGTTCTGTGATGTACCTTGATAGCCGGGATGGTGATTTTCCCTGTGTTGCCCTTGTTGCCCAGCACTGCTTCTGCTATGACAGGTCTCTTCCAGTTCCACAGGAATTTTATGACTGCTTCCTCTAATTCTGTGAAGAATGCTGTTGGTATTTTGATCAGGATCCCATTAAATGTATGTAACAGTTTCAGAAGGATGGTCCTATTGACTATACTGGTCCTGTCTATCCAGCAACAGGGGCTGTTTTCTGTTATCCTCTTGGGTCTCCTTTTTTAGAGTACCACAGCTTTTAGAGTACAGGTCTTTCACTTCCCTGGTTATGCGAATTCGTAAGTATTTCATTTTTGTTGATGCTGTTATAAGAGGCATTATTTCCTGAATTTCTCTCTCAGTGAGTTCATTATTGGTGTATAGGAACACTACTGAGTTTGAGTGTTGACTTTGGGTCCTGCCATGCTACTGAATTTGGACACTAATTCTAGCAGTGTTTTGGTGGTGTATCGGAACTTGTATGTAGAGGATCATATCACCTGTAAATAATGGTAATTTAACGTCTTCCTTTCCTGTCCATATCCCTTTTCTTTCTTCTCTTGTGTAGTTCTCTGCTATTGCTTCAAGAACTACGCTGAACGGAGGTGGTGCTGGTGGACATCCTTGTGTTGTTCCTGATTCTAGAGGGAAAGCTTTCAGCTTCTCTCCATTTAGTGTGATGCTGGTCATTGGTTCGATCTAGATGGCTTTTAAACCTGTATTACTGTGATCACAAATCAGTCTGATTACATTTTTGTCTGTTTGCTATTTCTTTGTGTTTATATTGCCAGAAACTGCCTTTATTTGTATTTGCATCATCTTTGAGAGTTGACTTCTGTTCTTTTGTAAGAACTGTTTGTACACAACTTAACTGCCTGTTGCTCTTCAGCAACAGGCATTCTGATTTTCACATTTTACCTACGTCTGTGTGCACATATGTATGTGTATACAGCCTTTTTTGGTATGAAGAATATGCATCTTTTTACAATAAGAAATTTGGTTGTCTTTCCTTTATACGTTGTTTCTTGTCTGCTCTACTTAGAAGGGCCTTCCATCTTTCAAATATATATTTTTAGAAATAACACATTTTTCTTCTAGTTATTTCATGATGTACTTTTCTAAATGTCAGTACTGGAACCTCTGCTCTGTTTGAGCCTTAAAGACATCCTGTCACCAGGTAGCATGCTTTGTATGTGTGGCGGGGCATACTGGGTATGTGAATGAGGGGCCCTACGCCACTGAGCTGCATCTTCAGTCCTTTTAATTTTGTTGGTTAAAGACAGGGTCTCTAAGTTGCCCAGACTGACCTTGAACTCGGGGGCCCTCCTGCCTCAGCCTCTTAGTTAGCTGAGGACACAAGCTTGCAAAACTGCACAGGGGTGTTTGTTTTTCATAGTAGTGTTTCTCCTAGCAGTGAGGTGACTGATGACATTTTGAAAAGCCCCTAAGTGCGGACTGCAGGATATAGATAGCAGCAAGCAAGAGCCTGGGATTTTGATAAAGGCTCTGAGGAGGAGAGTTCCTGGGGTCGGAATTGAGCATAGAGTTGTCCCTGGGAGTAGACTGTGACTCACTGTGACTCACTGGTCATCACCGTGCTGCCCAGAACAGAATTCTCTTCAGCCTGGCCCTGCTACTCCAAGATACCTCCCACTGTGTTGCAGAGTCTAAGCACACTGGCCTCGTGCTTTGCCTGTGGACTCCACCGTGGGGTGTGGACCAGAAGCCCTCTGTCCTCCACCAGGGCTGCACTGGCCAGGGAGATGCCTCACTGTGACTCCCGGCCTGGGCACTGGGGAACTCTGATCCGCCGGCCTTCAGGAACTCAGCTGGCCTGTGACTCCTTCCGATGTTAGAGACTTGTTCCTCTAACAGGATTTTATTGAGATATTGTTTGGCCAGAGTAAAATGCACAGGTCCTGGCTTCTGTGTGAGTTTTATGCATGCAAGGGTGCATCTGACTCCATTCCCACCGGGATCAGAACATTTGCAGCTTTCAGGAGACTCCTCCTATACTCCTCCCCGGTCGGTACCAAGGGGTAACCAGAAATCAGACCTGTGCTTGTCCTTGTTGGGGATGGAGTTGGCTTGCTTTCTGGCTGTGACTCTAGTCCTTGTTTTTCCCCACACCCCTGTTCCTTTCAGAGAGCTCCATGGTATGGATGCCACAGTCTCTGTCTCCTTGGTACTGTGGGGAACACGTGGCTGTTTCCAGGTTCATGCTGTGATGCTAAGTTGTTCTGGGCAGCTGTGTGTGTTTTCCTGTCTCTGGGGTTCCCAGTAAGCAGTAGAATAGCGGGTGCAGAGGAGAAGATATTGCACTGTGCTGCCCAAGCAGTGCTAAGCTGTATCTTCATTTTCTTGTTTTCCCTTTTTGGATTTCTTCTCAAGGAACAGGGTCTCTCCATGTTGCTCAAGCTGGTCCAAAACTCTTGGGTTTGTGCGCTTCTCCTGTCTCAGCCTCAAGAGGTACAGAACTGTAGCCATGCAACACGAACTCTGGTCCTGAGCTCTATTATTGTCCATTCTGCCCTGAGTCATGCGGGATCCCTTTGTTCCAAATTCCAACGAATGGCCGTTGCCTGCGAGGGAGGAGCCCTCCCTGGTGCCTGCACTGTGATAGAGTGTTATAAAGGATTGCTTTCCTTTCCAGCTTTTCTGCTCCAACTGCATTCCCTGTTCCTTCAAATCACCAGATTATGGTTGAATAGCAGCATAATGAGGATGGAGGGTGCAGAAGGGTCACGTGGCCTCCCGCTTGGGAGAATGTGCAAGAAGTGGGTCTTTGCAAATTCTAGGGCATCTATGGTGAGCACAAGATGAAAGCTATGCAAGGACATGCGTATTGCCCCAGACACCTTGTTTCCTGCTTGCCTAGAAGACCCTCACTTTAAATCCAGTTTGTTGTACTATCCCAGAATGCCACAGAGCAGATCACTAATAAGCAACGAAGTTGGTTTCTCAGGGTTCTGGAGGCTGGGAAGTGCAATACCGAGGCATTAGCGCTTGGCCAGGGCCTTCCTGCTGCATCAGCCTGGAGGAAGGTGCCAGGAGGAAGGGTAATGAGGACCCAAGTGAGAGCAAGAGCTCATCCTTGAAGCCCGTGCCCTTTGTTGACCGGCACTGATACAAGAGAGGAGCCATGGAGACCCCCACACCTCCCCTGCAGCCACGCCTCCTAGCACTGGTGCCCAGGGGACTAAGTCAGCAACTTGTGCTCTTTGAGGGCACGGAAGCACTTGGCTACTCATCCCTAGCCGGTGACACGGCCTTGTCAGTTTCCTGTGGCAGAGACGTGAGTGAGCTCAGGGGAGCTGATTGTCCTGCCTCCCCTTCCACCACCAGCCAATGCTACTCTTTTGCGTAAACCACTGGTTTCCTTTACTTATGCGCCAAACCCGATGAAAGACAGCTTTTTTCTCAAGCTCCTTCCCATGTCCTTCCAGGTCTATTGAACACAGTGTGCTCATCTTCCCCGTCCATCCTATCACCCGTGGGAAAAGGAGATAGTGAAGGAAGGAAAAAGTTTACAGCGGGAACTGCAAGCTCCGGGCTCTCATCCCGACAGAATGACAATCCCCGCTAAGGTGGTTTTTTGAAAACTCTTCTCCCTAATGGTGTTTTTTAATGAGGAACAGAAACTTAAACGGGAGAAATACTGTGCTAAGATCCTGAGTATTCTCAAGTTGTTTAAGTGTCCATGCATGAGCTGTGCACCTTGGCTGCATCCCTTTCCCTCCCTAAGCCTCATTTTTCTCTATGTTCCACCTTGGGCGGAAGCAGCGTCCCCACTACTGCTGCTGCCCAGCGTGTGGTTTCTTGCAGCCTGGGACGGAGCGTGCTTAGGACGCACAGCACACACTTCGGGGCAGTGCCGTCTGCAAACTGGCTGCCAGGTCCCTCTGCATCTTCATGAACCAAATGGGATTCGCTCTCTGGGTGGAGTGCAGGGGGCAAAGGAGAGAAAGGTCACAGGACTGGGGATGCCCATTTCCCTGTCCCCGAACCCCACCCACAGCCCTCACCCCAGCACCTGGCTTCTCTCTGTCCAGACCGCTTCCTTTGCTCCTGGCTCCTCCCTGTTGGGCAGCTGCCAAACTGCGTTGCTATCTGTTTCCTTGAAATGTCCAGCTCTGTGCGCTGACAGCTCAGTTGGTGTGAAGGGCAGCAGGGGACACCGCGGGCTTGTAACGATGAGTTCTCAGAGAAGCCAACCTGCCCAGGTGAGTCGTGGGCTGGCCCAGCCTGGGCTGGGTGTCCAGCAGGGAGGAGCAGCTCTGGTCCCTGAGGAAATGATTTGGTGGCAGGGATTGCTGCTGGGGGAATCCCAAAGAGAGCCTGAGCAGGGTGCAAATGCCCGAGGAGGTCATCTGGGTGTAACTTTTTTCCATGTCAGTCTCATCCAAGGCAGCCTCTTGGGACCTAGGAATGTTAATCCGATTCATGAATTTGACCCCCAGTAGTGATCCTTCTGTGGGTGCTTGCTCCAGCCAGTTGTTTCTGGAAGACAAGCCTCGTAGTCTCTTCACAGGTCACAGTTTCTATACAGAAGACAGAACAGGGTTCTGGGAGCACAACAACCCCCACATGGCACTAAATCCATCTTCCCTGGAATTGGCCTCTTGGGTTCCTCCATTCACTGGCTGGATGGCTCTAGTCAGGGTACATTGACCATGACTGGATCTTGGGGTACTGGGGACAAGGGTGTCCTTCTGGCCTCAGTGACTTCTTTGCAGCATGGAGTTGCTGAAAGGCAGGTGATGGGATGCAGGGACACAGGAGGAAGATTGCTATGACAACCAAAGTTACCAGGAGACACCCAGGACCGAACCCTTTCAACTTCATTCATGTTGGGGCGCCTCCTCCAGAATGAGTGTGTGTGTGTGTGTGTGTGTGTGTGTGTGTGTGTGTGTGTTCTTGTAACTCTTCCAAATTAAAGTTTTCGGTCTCTTTTCCATAGGCTCCTGGAGCAAAATCCAAGACTTACGTAAGTGTTGCGTGGGTGGATTTCATTCAGAATGGCAGGGAGGGTGGTGACTTGCGTAATTGAAAAGAATACTTTATCAAGCTGAAGTTTTAAAAAAAAAACTCTTGAAAATTACAATAATTTTGAAAGGAGCTTTGAATTTTAAAATGGTCCCTTGAGCATGATAAGCTAATTATATGGCCTTCTCCTGTCATCCTAGCATGCTTGAGTATCTGGCCAAACTTCCCTCCATGACACTGAAGGTCCCCTGCTCTGGGAACACTGGGAGATTTTCCCTTGGCATTTAATGAACCAAGTAAAGTTGTCCTGGCTTCCTCTGAAAGTCATACTACTATCAGCTGATGACCAAGTCCATGGCAATGGGTACAGGATTCCCCACTGCTGTGGCGCCTCTCTGCTGTCAGGGGCTGACCTGTCTCCATCCTCCCAACAGCCGGTTCCTTACTTCACCTCCATC